TTGGTTCTGCCAAGCCTGTCTGTTTTAATTATCAAGGCCGGTCGAAGCTACACACAACTTCAACTTTTTCAAAGTCACCGTCTTGGTCAACATGTCTGCAGGATTCCTATCTCCTCGAACCTTTTTTAGCTGCAACATCTTCTTCTCTAGAAGTTGTCGGATGAAATGATACTTAACTTCGATGTGCTTCGTTCGCGAGTGAAACGCGGGGTTCTTTGCCAGATGGATTGCACTCTGGCTATCGCTGTATAGAGCCAAATCCTCTTGAGGTCTCCCAAGTTCATTCAGAAAGTTTTGCAGCCAAACGAGCTCCTTGGCTGCCTCCGTCACTGCCACGTACTCAGCTTCCGTTGTTGACAATGTGACTATCTTCTGCAGCTTTGAAATCCAGGATACGGCCGTCCCACCGTAAGTGAACACGTACCCAGTAGTACTTCTCCTCTTGTCATGATCACTTCCTGCAAAATCAGCATCGACAAACCCAGACAGGGTAAGGGTACCCCTGTCAAATACCAATGCCCGGTCCTTAGTACCTCTCAGGTACCTAAGGATCCACTTTACCGCCTCCCAGTGCATCACTCCAGGATTGCTCATGAATCGGCTGACTACTCCCACTGCATGTGCTATGTCTGGCCGGGTGCAGACCATAGCGTACATCAGGCTCCCTATAGCCGAAGCATAAGGCGTAATTCTCATCCTTTCCTTTTCAGAGTCATCCTTGGGCGAATCCTTGTTGGACAACTTGAACTTGCTTCCCAATGGTACTCTAACCGGCTTTGCAGTATCCATTTTGAATCTGCACAACACCTTCTCAATATAATCAGATTGTGAAAGCCAAAGTTTACCAGCATTCCTGTCCCTCGTGATTTTCATGCCCAGTATTTGTCTCGCTTCTCCTAGATCCTTCATATCAAATCTCTTTGATAGCTGATCCTTGAGCCTCTCGATCTCCTTGACATCTGATCCTGCTATCAGCATGTCATCCACATATAGCAGTAAAATAATGAAAGAGTTACCGAACTTCTTCACATAGCAACAATGATCAGCATTACACCTGGAGTATCCTATCTCCAGCATGAAATTATCGAATTTTTGGTACCACTGTCGAGGAGCCTGTTTCAGTTCGTACAAGCTCTTCTTTAGGCGACAGACCTGCTGATCATTTCCTCTATTCCCTCTGGTTGCACCATGTAAATTTCCTCCTCAAGATCCCCATGCAGAAAGGCCGTCTTCACATCTAACTGTTGCAACTCCAAGTTTTCCGCCGCTACGATGCTTAACACTAAACGTATAGTGGTTAACTTAACAACATGTGTAAAAACATCGGTAAAGTCAATACCGTATCTCTGTTGGAATCCCTTTACTACAAGTCTGGCCTTGTACCGTTTTGTTCCATATGATTCCTCCTTGACCCGATAGACCCATCTGTTTTGAAGAGCCTTCTTTCCTTGTG